CTATTCTTAGCTACATTCTTGTGTTCAAAACTGTCACCAAAATCGCGTTACTCGCGTTTGCTTCTGAGTAACATCTAATTATTAATAGATCGTCAGGGGTATTGTTTGATTACTGCAGAGGAAGATTTTACCATGTGACTTGCTTATCGACGTCAGCCGATGAGCTCGCCGTAACAGTCCAAGTTCGATTAGGTCATCAGCAAAAATGTCTTCATATTCTTTGATCAAGGCTTCCACTCTTGCCTCTTGATCTGGAGTTAGGTTCTTGACAAAGGGTGAAGGTTGGACTTCTTGCTTCTGTCCAGCAGTGACTAGTTGAGCTGAGGCTAGTGGGATGAGGGAGAGTTTTGCTATGGGTTGTCCAACTGCTATGTGGGATCCATAGACTGAAATGACTGGGACTTTGATTCAGCCTCATGTTTCTATTAGCATTGCTGGTATGATGTGACTGGAAATTCCTTCTATTGAACTGACCATTGCTGCCATGCCTTCTGGTAGGTGAACTTCTATTCCAGTTGAGAGGTAGGCTTGACCGCTGACTATAGTGTCTTCATTGGAATAGAGGATAAACCCTTGATGTACTAGTTTTGGATTCTTGGCCTGAGGTGTCCATTTTCGAGCTTCTAATATTCCTTTCTTCTTCCAGGGTTTAGGAAATGCTGCATTGACTTGGACTATGGTTTCAGGCATTGCTTAGGCTTGATCTTCTCCTCTTCTTCCAATTTCATGAGCTTCTCTTCTGGTAATGCTGCAATGGTCTGACAGGTTTGTATCATCCAGATACAATGGCCACAAGTATCCTTCTGGTTATCAAGTCACTGTCTACACCAACACTGGGTATCAGGTCCTTTGTAATGGTATGGCTGTTGTTGGTACTTAGGTCTTCTGGTCAATTCTTGCTGAAACTTCTTCACCTCTGTCCATTCCACATAGTTGTCATCTATTTGGCATCCTTTGTCTTGAACTATGCAAGTAATAGTAACTTGTTGCATTTTGTGGTTATTTACAACATATGGTACTGAAACTTGGTAGTGGTCAGGCTGCTGTTTTTGCTGATATTTGTCCTTTCACTGTTTTAATTCCTTAATCTGGGCATTAACCTTGGCATTTCCTTCTGGTGTGTCTACAAACATTCCTCTCCATTCAGCTGTTCTTTGGTCATAGTATAAGTAGGGGTCTTTTCACTTAACCTTCGTTGGTCTCCACTCAGGATGATATTGGGTCCAATCATCACCTAATTCTCCTAAGGTGATATTTCCCTTCACCGCCTGACTATTGGGCTTCAACTGGGCTCCTTTCAGATACAATTCATAAGCTCTATCTACTGCATCACTATCCTTCTTCCAAGAATTTGCATGGACTGCTTTCTTTTCTCTGATAAAACTGGACCTTACTGACTCAAATCTGTCATTTTCATCTGCCTTATCCTTACACTTTTCACATGGTTGAACATCATTCTCTGGCATAAATCCTTGTATGCATGTATAACTCTTTGGCCCTTTCTGGCATAACCAACTGTCATTTTGATCTATCTGCATTCTTCTGGCTGAGGGTCAACTTCCATTGGTATGATAACATTGACACCTGCTGGATTATAGTAGATTGGTCCTCCCATTTCCAAGGGTACAATGACTAACTGTCCTGTCTGGTCATTTTGTAGAGCAAATTGCCTTCCTTTCATATCTACTACTGCATTGTATTTGTACATAAAGTTCATTCCTAGGATGATATCTGCTGGAGAGTCTTGCACCACTCCTGTATTTAGGTTCCAAGTTCCATTTCTTCTATCAAATCTCAATGGGACGTGTTGTACTTATGCTATGGGTCTGTTGAGATGTCCGGTAACTCCCTGTATCATGAATGATACACTCACTACCAAAAAGTATTGGCCGAAATTCGCCGATCATCGCAAAAGCTTGGTAAACAGATGAAATAAAAGTTTAAATAATTCACCCGTTTACTTATTAACCTTTATTAAAATTTATATCAATGATACA